AATAAGACGGAGATGCTAGACGAAGATCGAAGAAAATTGTATGACGTCGCCCAAATATACAAGGCCGGTCTGCCACTTCAACCGCGCCAGTATGTATTTATAACTCGTGGAAAAGTTGCAGGCACCGGGCAAAGAACGAAGGACATGACATTGAACTCGAAGAGGCCATCTGGTGTTAAAAACGCACTCTTCTCTCGGGCTCTCTCGTCGACTTCGATTCGCTAATAGTCGGTCTTGAGGCCCATCGACAAAAAGTACTTCGCGTTGTGGAACTGATCCAGCACGTCGTCCTATAAGTGGAAGAGGATACAGGTCACTTTTTGCAATTTTGTTGATTGATAGATTTCATGTGGGGTTTAACGTCCCAAAACCACCGTATGTATACGAGAGACGCCGTACTAGAGGGCTCCGGAAATTTTGACCACCTGGTGTTCTTTTTAACGTGCACCCAAATCTGAGAACACGGACCTACAACATTTCTGCCTCCATCGGAAATGCAGCCGCCGCAGCCGGGATTCGATCCCGCGACCTGCGGGTCAGCAGCCGAGTACCTTAGCCACTAGACCACCGCGTCGTGGCTTTGCAATTTTGTTCAGGCGGTGACAATCAACGCAGAAAGTTGGGGTTCCATCCTTCACTGAAACCGGGGAGACGCCAACGGACTCTTTGAGGGATAGATGACGTTGCAACGTAGCATTTCGTCGACTTATCTCTTGACGGCTTCACGTTCTCGCATCGAAACTATGTACAAACTCTGACGAAGTTATCTGGCATTTTCCTCTGCTATGATGCGATGTTTTGCAACTGGTGTCTGCTGAATTTTTCACAATGACGAGAGGCAGTTCTTGTATTGCCGAAGCAAGGTTTTCAGCTCTCTTTATTCATGCTTAGAAAGGCTCGGATTCTCATTGAAAGCTCAATGAAAGCCTTGGTTTCAAGCAGTAGGTTCCGCAGAATCGGTAATGACGAAAAAACTGGTGCCTTCTACAATGTCTTCGATGCATGCGACCGTCGTGCTTTTATTCACGTGTCTGTACTATTTGCGGCAATTCGAGAGCATAACTGATGCTTTCTTTCCACGCCACTCAGCAATTCCTCCTGCAGCGCAAATATTATGGTTTACTAACAGCTAGTACTGATTGCCTTCAGCGATGCCTTTGAAGTCTTCTGGTTTCAGGCTACTAACGGAAATGAAGACGCTTGAGCGAGGAGGAACGATCACTTGTTCTTGCAGGACAGTCAGGGTATGGATTTCTGATAGTGTGTGCCGCTTTTCCTGTGGATAGTGTCATCGACTTTGTTAATTGGTGGATGACCACGCCATGGAGACTCTTGAAGTTCATACCAAAAATGACATCTCTTGAGCAATGCTGCTGTAGTACTACAAAGCTTGCGCAATAATTCTGGCTGTTAATAGTGGCTCTGGCTGTGAAGATTACAGCCGGTGTTACTTAGGGACCTCCAGCTGTGCAGCTTTTGGGGCCTTTCAAGTGGTCCTAAGTTCGTGGCGAAAGTACTACTGATGACGCAATAGTCGGCTCCAATGTCGACGGACAGCTGTGACGCTGTGGTCGCCAATGAGGACGTCGAGATCGTTAGTTTGTCGCCTGGCATTGAGGTTGGGTCGCGGCCTCAGATCGCGGCTATGACTGTTTGTACCACTGTTACGGCGTCGCATCGTCACGTCTTCTTCTGGCCGCCAAGTTCCGACGCCGGGACAACGTTTAGGTTGCAGCAGGTTCTTGAAGTTGCATCGGGGCGTTTCGTCGTCGGCGGAGAATCTTCGGTTGCTTATTGTATAGCAACCACAACTCTATTGGTTGCTGCCCTCAGTTTTTTTTTAATACGGGCTAGGCAACCGGCACCGGGTTGGGCCAGTGTACGGCCGGGGGTCACGTGACACGTAGTGACCGGGTGAAGTTGCAACGTGAAGATCGTCCCTACGTTTGTTGCGCTGCTGCGAGGTAGTCGGTGATGTCGCATGGTCATCACCCCACTGTGGGTGTGGTGCGTCGATAGCCAAACCACGCAGCCCCATATGGCAGTACTGGCAGCGGTTGTAGGTGTGCCCAGCTTCTCCGCAGCGGTAACATTGTGGTCGGTGGTCGCGGCTGCTCTACACGTCAGTTATCCTCGGAGCGTTGCACTGGCATGCGGGTGGATGGTACGGTGGCAGTGTCTGGCGTGGAAACTGCGACGGGGAGACTTCTTGACATGGACCGGCAGGGGAGCGTAGTGTCAGGTTGCTGCATCAGTACTCATTGCCTGCAGCTGTGGCAGTTCAGGGGTTCTGAGCGATCGCTGGACTTCTTCCCGAAAAATGTCGGCGATGGAGTCCGCTTGCAGCTGTGATGAAGGTAATACCTTCCGCAGTTTCTCTCGCATGATCACTCGCAATGTCTCGTGTAGCTCGTCGGTGCTGAGGGCATGAGCCTCGGAGTAGTTAACTGTTGAGTGGTGGTTATACTGTCTTGTGCGCATATCAAGTGGCGTCTCAGTTTTCGTGGCTTTGGTCAAGAATTCATCAGTTTTTGGTGGGTTGCGCACAAGCCCCACAAACAACCTTTTTTTGACACCTCGCATCAGGAATGGGAGCTTCTCCTCGGCCGTGGCAGGGTCTGCGTGACGAAACAGCCATATCTCTTCGACGAAGATGCACACGTTTTCGTTGGAGAGTTGCACATGCAACTCCAAGATAAAACAGGCATGTTAGTTGTGGTCAACGCTCGTGAACGTGATGAGGAACGTCGTCCTAGTGTTATTCCAGCTTCGTAGAGTAGACTTTGTTCTGGAACCTGGTCTTACATCTTCTAGGTAAAAGTAGACGCGGCGCAGATTTTCAACGGTGTCCCACTTGTTCGAGGCGGCGACTCAGTCGTATACGTCTCCAGCCAAATTTCTGGGTACTTCATTGATGATCCGCAAAACATTGGTGGCTCTTTGGGCTACCGAAGCACGATTGGCACAGGTGGCACGGTGGTGGTCATCGTGCCTGCGGTAGAAGCCACGGTCTTGATTTGCCTAGTGTTCTCAGACAGAGGCCTGAACTCGGCGGCAGACCTTGTTGCCTATACGGCTCGGTCGCTGCTCGGGGTTGCTGTTAATGTCTTCACAACTGGCGCTGGGCTCACGGCGTGACGGAGGCGTCCCGTACATGAAAGGAGCAGCACATCTACCTGATAAAACGGGGTCGTAACGTCGACAATTGGAGCAGACTATAGTTAGAAGATTAATCTGTTTATTCGGCCAAACTTGTCGGGTGTACGAAGCGTGGCTTGTAGGAAAATGGTTGTGCTTTTTTGCTCATGCGTGATTTCCTGTCAAGCAGACTCAATATTGTGGCCCGTTAACTTCAGTTTCATTTAGAATAACAGTCAAGCAATTTAATGCATTCGTTGAAGACATATTTGATAGCAATACAGCGAAGTGTGCGCTTCCGTGCGAATTCGTTTTTATGTGTGTTTACTAATTTTTCATGCTTTTGAAATAAACCGCCAATAACGAATTACTTCTCCAGTACGTCTTCATGAACCTATTTCTACTAACTGCTATATTGAAGATGACTTTACTGCAAGTAAGATTTGACAGTATACAGGCAAGCTTGAAAGGGCTTGTCAGCTGGCACTGAGGGAGCCACCTCCATCTGTATGTCGGAATGTGGGAAATATCTAAACACCCAAACAGCAGGACAGATTTATGCGTATCGTCACAAAACCAATGCGTAAGAGTTCATGACGCTGTCAAGTTTTGCGTCAATCACAAAATAACATCGGCTACGCTGATGCACTGTATATACCGGTGTAACGAACAGCAGCAACGTAGAGAAAAAATGGCAGCATATCCACGGAGTGAATGATGAAGAGTGGGGCGAAGAATTCGTCCGTCAATTCGTTCTTGCTTCCGTCCGTCCATGCATCCGTCAGTGTGACCGTCCATGCGTTAATCAGCCCGTCCGTGCGTGCGTCTGTTCGTGCGTCCGTCCCTGCGTTCGTCCATGCAGCCGCCCCTGCGTCCGTTCATGCGTTCATCTATGCATCTGTCTATGTGTCCGTTCGTCCACCTGTTCAACACTCCAAGTACCACCATCTCGCATCTTTTCATCATATATTCCCCATATAGAAGCACCGCCATCCAGCGGACATTCCAAGGACTAAACGAGAGGTGGCACACGCACACTTTCTTACGGCTTGCGCTTCGGGTCCACTTCCCACCTTTAACCCCCTCGAGTCCATGGTATACACTAGTTCACTGTATTCATGGCACTGCGGCCGAACGCTCGCTAAACCTTTCAAAAACCATGGAGATTACGCCCAGCGAGTATGACGTAGCAAACTTTTTCAGTCAGATAGTGCTCAATGTACATGCCAATGGCTGCTAATGGGAAATGAGAGGCGGAGAATTCGGCTTTTACTTTCTTACGGCTTGCGCTTCGTATCTACTTCCCATTTTTAACCACCTCGAGTTCATTCATGGTATATACAAGTTCATTGTATTCATGGCACTGCGGCACAACGCTCGCTAAACCTTTCTAAAGCTAAGGAGGTTACACCCAGCGAGTATAACGTAGCAACCCTTTCTTGTCAGATAGTTCTCAATGTACATGACAATGGCTGCTAATGGTGATCGCAGCCTGCGCGTTAACTAAAAGCCGAATGCTCCTGTCTCTCATTACCCATTAGCAGCCATTGACAAGTACATTGAGCACTATTTTTTATTGTTCAACAACGCACAGAAGAAGTCTCTCACCGGCACCACCTTGGAGGTAAAAATGTTATACTTGTTACATACTACGGGGGACGAACGGGTGCCGCTACAAGGAGCTTCGCCCCTAAAGAATGTCTGATTGGCATCCTCAACTTCCGTCGCACACTTCATATGATTTCGCGCCTTTGTGATTTGTATAAAGGCCGAAATTAAAGAGTACGACATGTCAGTATGCAGGTCTTTAGTTGGCAGTGACTTGTACGTCCTGTGTCAGAGTGAAGAGCAGTATGGCTTACCTGTTAAACCACCAGAAAAGAAGCTTCGACAAAAATGACGCACGACTTTCGGGACATTGCTTCTGAAAAATACAGAACGGAAGCTTAGGGGGTTTACAAAGGCACAACGACCGCGGCGCACTCACAATGGCCTTCTTGCCGCCGCCAACCGGCTGTGCAGTGTCTGCAAAGCAGCTTAGCAGAAACTGTCCCACGATCACAGGACAGTACACCACGATGGTAACGAAGCGAAACTCCATCTGCTCGTCGGACGTGCTTCCCACATCCTGCAGGCACGCGCAAAAACATATTATATAGAGTTTTACGCCGCAAACGCACGTGTAAAAATGATCATAGGCCAATATTGTTTCGTGACAGCCGAGATTTTGTCTGCTCCGCACGGGAACAGTGCTGGCAGCAGTGTCTCCATGCAATATGAACGATTCCTTGAACGCGTCTGTATGCCGTGCCGTAACTACCACACAGGCTGCGTTTTTTTTTTTTTTGAAGCAGCAAAAAAATAATTTATTTGAAGACCAACGTTTTTCAACCAGAATGAGGATGCGCTTGGCACCAAAATGTCATTTATGTTTTGTGTTTTTAGTAAAGGAGTGTACGTTTTGTTCAAGCATGATTGTTCTTCGCAATACAAGTTTTGGTGAAACCACGGACTTCAATGTTATCGCACTTCATAGTACGCAAAGAAAAGCGTACTCACCTCACTGAACACTTGCAAGATGACAGACCGGTATCGCACGATGGACGCCAGGGACATAAGCAACCAAAATATGAAGAGTGGGCCGGACGTGCAGACTCCTCGCCTGCGAGCAGTTGTCATCAGAACAACGGCCAGAAGCTGAAAGGAAGCAATCGATGCGCAGAGTTCGCAAATTGCCATCACGCTGCATCCTCTTACTCTGGTCAAGCATTGAACTTCACTGCAATCACATAGGCTTGAATGAACTATTACCACATCATCTACGCGTTTCGCTTGTCGATATTGATTCCCCCTAATGCTCGTTACAAATTAATGTAATCACTAAGACTTCTTGGAAAATCGGCGTAATTCAAACAATGCAATTTTAATCACAGAGACAGAAGCGACTTGACAAGTGCAGCGAAATCGAATTCAGCAATAGTAGCCGCCGGAAGCTCGTGGAGCGACCGTGTATATACTGGAGCAACGAAGTGTGGGACTTACGAAGGTCACCATGCGTGCGACAGGTGCGTAATACTCGACCGGAAACACAATGTGTCCGTCGGCGTAACGGGTCAGGGCTTGAGCAATCTCCACTGCAGATGTCACTATCAACACCACCGAAAGGAGCTGTAATAAGAAGAGACGGTTTGTTTGTAAGCATGTGCACATATTGAAGACACTTGGAAGAATTCGACAGATCCCACTTGTCGTGGAAATCAGTGTTATGTGAAACATGCGGATGGAATGTTACTGTGGTGCACTTTCATTCAGTGAAACATCGCTAAATGATGGTAATGACAGTGATAATATAATAGTAATATTATTATTAACAGGATGATCTTGACCAGTATTCATTCACTTATATGTGTATTATGTCCTAGAAATAAACATGAAGCCTTTGCGTAGGCACACGCAAAAACAAATAAAAATACACAATACAATACAGTCCACAGAAAAAAAAGAAGAGAGGACACATAAACAAAAAGATTTCAGCGCAAAATAGGAAAAAGAAAAAGAGAACCATGGAATAATAATATTATTTGGGACTTTACGTGCCGAAATCATGATATGATTACGAGAGGCGCAGCTGTGAAGGGCTTCAGGAAATTCGACCATGAGCTGTTTCTTAACGTGCGCTGACATCGCACAGGACATGGGCCTCCATCGAAAAGCAAACCTGCAGATGACGCTGAAGGTACGCAGAATAGTTGTCTACGCACGGACGTATAGGTTTAACAGTTAGATATGTTTTATAAAATTTATTTGCTTACTGTTACGTAACGATGCTAACAGCAGCATAAGTATTACCTACATCAGAAGGTGATGAAAAAAATTTTATAAAGCTCTTACTATACTGCAGTTCTACACGTACGCGGCACACCCCGGTTCCCCGCTTACGTGACCCGCGTGTTCCCAGCAGCTTCTGGCTCCTCTCCGTCCGTGCAACGCCTCCTTTCAATACCAGAACAAACGTGCCCTTCTCAACGGGAGCCGCCTTAGTTCAAGGATGGTCGTGATGCGACGCCACATGAGGGGTAGCGCTTTTTGCGTCACACATGCGTCCGGACCGACGGTTTCCCACGGAGAGCCCATATACGTGTTTCCCTCTCCAAAAATATGCTTCTGTCAGTTTTCTTCCTTCGAGCTCCTTTGTGGCTCGAAGCAATTCCACCGCCACATTACAGCGCAGCCCATGCAGGAGCATTGCAGTGACGCTTCCCCATTGGTTGCCTGCATAGCGACACCAACGGCGATACACTATTTCAAACCACCACATCTTTTACAGAGCTAGCGTTGCCGCCATTATTGTCAACACGAGGACAGCAAGGCGCTTCCCCTCGGATCTGTAAATAGCTGAACCAAAATTCATACAATTTTCGTGGTGAAGCACTGCATTGGGGGTTCACGAAGAACCCCCACGACGACAAAAAGCACAGGCGAAGGCTAGGCGATGGGCGACAGCATAAAAGGGCTACAGGAGAGACTGGTGAACGGCTCGACCGGGCGCATCCGGCTGGCATTGATAAAATTAGGAGTAGTTAGTGGAGTGCAAGCTTAGTGGGCGCGTGGCTGGATAACAGGCTCGCCCATCACTCAAGGAGTTGGGCCTTGAATACATACGCCGGAAACGATAGGCCGATATGTTGTTTTGGTGTTTGTGAAGATCACGATGATGTGAGGATTTTATTGCCGCAAAGGCCATTTGATGGCCAACGAGCACCAGACAGTGGGACAAGATTGATATGTGGGGTTTACCGTCCCAGAATAACTAGCAAATTGGAAATTATTATTTATCTCTGTTTCACTAATTTATCACTCGACAACGCACCAGCCTGAGTATTCACATCAGGCATAACTGACCACCTGCCTTTTTTTTTTGCCCTATTACGAGTGCCTGAACTCCAGACGTCCCCAGATATACGAGTAGAGAAATAAACGATAGAACTGTCCTTCCATTTCACTCTCTAAGACAGACAGACAGACAGACAGACAGACAGACAGATATATATATATATAGATATATATAGATATATAGATAGATATATATAGATATATAGATAGATATATAGATATATAGATATATATATATATAGATAGATATATAGATATATAGATAGATATATAGATATATAGATAGATATATAGATATATAGATAGATATATAGATAGATATATAGATAGATATATAGATAGATATATAGATAGATATATAGATATATAGATATATAGATAGATATATAGATATATAGATAGATATATAGATATATAGATAGATAGATAGATAGATAGATAGATAGATAGATAGATATTCTTTTCTGGTTTAAATCTCTCCGATATTGAGACAACTGCGAATTCCTGGTTGGATGAACTAAAGTTATGGCTTGGAGTGATCCAGTTAGAACTAAATTTAAAAAATCTAAATTTATGCTCTTCTAGAGGAAAAATAGACCTGCAGATCATACTATTTCTTTAATTTTCGATGGTGAGAGTATTTATCAGGTAAACAAAATACGATTCCTGGGCTTATGTTTTCAATGCGACCTTAGTTGGTCCGAGCATGTGGATAATCTACGATTAAATATTCCAAGGTCTATCGGTATAATTCAACGATCGCAGCATCTACTTCCAGGGAAAGTGAAACGGCAGTTGTACTTTTCTGCACGCGCAAATCATGTAGTGTCTGGAGTACGTGTAACAGAACAAATAGTGAAAGTATTATTCTTCTCAAAAAACGTGCACTACGTCTGTTAACTACCTTGGTCCCCCCAAATACGTCCCTTTTTGATGTGCACAATGTGATACCATTCCAAGAGTGCTACAAGGTACAACTAGCCATGTTAATCTATAAAAATTAAGAAAACTTTCAGAGTTTTTCTGATACATACTTAAGCAGAGATCTTGCATACAATCTACGTACTGTTGCGTTAGTGGGGTTGATGGGTCGGACAAACTATGACATACAGTCAATTGATAACCAAATTGTTTTACTGTACAACAAGATTCCTGAAGTAATATAATACGCTTGAGAGACGAAAAAAAGTACTAACTCTAATTGTTTTCCCGCTTATCATTACTGCGTGACCCCCTTCGAAGATTTCGCCTTGAAACTGCGGATTTGCAACGCATTTCACGCGTTCATTTCTCAACATGCCAGTACTTCAAAAGCAGTCCCCGCAGTACAGGCGGAAGTGACTGAAAATCATCACGTTTGTCCCTCATCAGATTCTTGTTATAATCGGCTTTAACGGGTTGGCACCACTTTTACGTTGAAAACGATTTGGTGGCGTTTGCATTGCGTACTTCTGGGTCAACAATCTCCGAACTGCATGGGATACGTTGAAAACACAGCACTCGTGTTCTCAAGTATTCGCCAAAGCTGCCAGAGCCCCTCGTCAAGTGACTAGACGGTGTTGCTTGAATACAACAGAATGAGTGACGGCCTACAGGAGTGAGCAGTGTGAAGTCAGTGCTCCTCGGAAAAATCTGTGATATCTTTGCGCTGCTTAGAGCACATCGTTCTACCAGATGCACCAGAAAATTAGCCGAGCACCGAAAGCCCCTCATCAGGCCCCTTTGACATACTCTGCGGTGCTTTCACGGATTTGGAAACCAGCCTGGAGCTATTCATCAGTAGCGCCGGAGTCGCTATCGAGAACCACCAGTTTTCGAAAATTTGTGTCGCCTCGCACCCGTAATTTTTTTGGGTGGTGCCGTACTGCGTCTACCGCCATGACTGCCAGACTAGCCACGCGCACATCTTCCCAATTTCCCGTATCGGAAAAGGCGGCACGTTACCCTCTTCTCTTTTCCTTTCGCTCCCCATTCCTGTGCAGACATGTTGAGGCAGGCAGTTATTTATCACAGCACCCTCATCTACATAACGTATTACACAGGAGGGATGGGGGTGGGGGGAGGGGGTTATACAGTACATGATCGGTAAAGGCATATTTGCAGGTATCAGGTAGAGTAATATACTAGAACACACAAGAATTGCACACCAACTCGATAGTCGTGATAACAATGCAGACACACATCATAATAACATGGCGTAGATCGCAGCGTTAAAGTTCGTGCACTGTAATCAAAAATATACCCAACTGGGAGGAATTGGGGAAAGATGCGCCTGCTCTTCTCCGGTGGCCTCACTCAAACCGGATTGTGCCGGAGCAAATACATTCTTTCTACACCGTTTTCCTCCGATGATCGCCGGACGAAGGAAAGAGGAGGAAAACGGGACCAATCCCCTGATTATGCTCCCGTGGTTCCTCCCGAAATGCTCTCGCGCGTCGCTTTTGCTTCGGTGGATGCTCTCCAATTGCTCCTTGTCATCGCTCACTGACATTCATTGGCTGTTCGAGGAGTGACGTAGGCAGCCTCGCCGCCGGGAGGCCATTCCCCACAAACCAACATGGCGCAGACATAGCCGGTGCAGTGAGGATTGTGCGAAGCGTTCGGCAGCGTTGGAGGAAAGCAAAGCATTCTGAGTACCTTCTGGATATTACAAGCGACCGGAAGAAACGAAGGTTATCAACGACAAAAGGTAGTTGCGCGAACGGTCATCGTGTACTGGTTCCTGGCACCAAACGACACATTGTGATCTCGCGAGTGTTGGTAGACTCGGCGGTTGCTGGTGCGGCAAAAACATGTCGAGTGAGCTCTCCTCAAATTACACAGTGTTATTCCTGTCATGTATGGCTAAGATTGGATAATCTTGGGTTGAATAACCAAACATGTGATCAGTATTTGGCTACTATCACAAGACGTCAGTGAAAAATCAGCGGAATTTCGATAATGCGTTGTTTTAACTATACGTGTTTTTTTATTGCGATAGCAATTATATGGACACACTCGGCTGGATTTTGCGGCCGCCATCAGCGGCGGTGTCGTTCTTCATACATGTATACGTATCTATATATATGAAAACATAAGAAAAAAATCTACAACAAACACTTCGGCGCCCGGAATCAAACGTGGGACCTTCGCGTCGTGATTGCGAGGCGTTACCACTGAGCTACCGTGGTGTACCACTATGGACGTTCAAACGGCAAGCTATATATCTACAACTTACAGCTGTTAACAGACGTCTTGGGGGGAACTATCGCGTTTTCAGCATTATCTGCAAGATA